AAATAATCATCACGCTTTGGAAATAATGTAGAAAGAATTTTAATACATTTTGTCCTGTTTTTTTTGTTATTCTCTTTCACCGTCTGTACATGTGTGTTATAAATTTATTTAAGAAACAGAACAGTAAAAATTTCTAATTTTGTTCATGAATTCTAGTAAAGTTTATGGAATAGCGTGAGTGTGTATGTATATGCGCGTTCGAGGTTTGGTTAAATTATGCATGCATTCAATTCCCACGTGAAACGAAAGAAAAAAAAACGGACAGGAACGGACGTGGTGCAAAGAAATAGAATGGATATTAAGTGTGTATGCATGTTTGCAGTTCATACGAATTATATATTTAGTTTCTAAAACGTTCCGATCAGGAGGAGGTACAGCACTGTCTGCACTGTTTTTGTTTAGTATTGTTAAGGAAATAATTTTACTCAGACCGGTTTCTTGTATGATTCTTGCAAGTATCGCAATAGTTGCTACTGTTCTAGCTAGCATTCTCAACCGTATGGCAACAGCGAATGATAATTGCTTGCAAGAAATTACGTTCAACTATCATGTTTCCGACTTGCGGAAATACCTCCAAATTGCTAACAGAACAGGTTTGAAATCTGTCTTCTAGAATATAGATAATTAACAATATCTCAGAAATATATCATCAGGAAGTTTATACCCTAAACGAAAAGCGTTACTTGTTAAACAGAGATTTCCTAAACACACACTAAAGAATTTTCATGTTTGGAGTAGAATGTTTACTAGTTCCAAATTAATTCATAAACGTGGAATGATTTAGAAAAGCTCATCTAGATATTCAAACAAAAACTATATTTAGGAATGTATATATAGACAAAATGCAACTATTTATTAAATTATCTAAATACAAAAATAGTACCAAGTCTTCATTCAGCTCAACTTTATTTAAGATTGTTCAAAAAATGTAAATTTCTATACCTTTAAATTTGGTGGAGGTGAAATATAATTTTTGTAGATTACTGCCTTGCTTTCATTGAACGGAAAATATGTTTTATGTTGATGAAGATATGTTTTACGATTATTATTAATAAATTTAAAATATTTATTTAAAACTACAAAATAATTTTGAAACTTCAAAAATTATTTATTGTATACATAATGTTAATAATTTAATGAACTAAATAATAATCATTTTTATTTATTATATTGAAAGATGATTTTTCATATTTTTGATCTATAGTAACAGCAATTATTTTGACAGGCGCTAGAAACTGTTCAAGTAATGTTGCGATTTCTTTCACAGGCTAAGAAACAATTAAACTATTTCACTAAAGGCCAGCGACCACATACATATCTGTCCTTGATAAATGTATACATTATAATAATCCTGACTCAATTTTAATATCGAACTATTTAATTACATATTTTTTCAATTAACAACTTTTTAAATATTTATACAGCATTTACACTTATTTTCTCTTTTTGAATTATATACCTATTACTTTATATTAAAATTTAGTATTACTTTAAAATATTGCTAAAATATAATTCAGTTGTTGGTTTATTCAGAAAGTAATTTCGTTTTTTAACCAGCCATATTTATTCTAAAACAAATAGTCATTATATATTTGACAACAAATTTTATATTTATATTTATTTATATTTAATATTATTTATAAAAAAACGGTACGATTTTTTTTCTGTTTATAAAAAAAGTGATACTGTGCAATTGGTTTTTTTGTGCGCATCAAAAAGTTATGAAAACAAGATTGAATATGTATTCAACCGTTCATGTTTATATAAAACGAATTGGTTTAGTTTCAAAGCTTGTTATTTGTGATAAAAACGAAATTACTTTTCTAATAACCCAATATATAGAATATTATTATTCAGTATTTAAAAGAGATATTTATAATCAAATTTAATAAATTTTATATTATTTTTGTCTTAAGAAAACAAAAATCTTTTTTATGACATTAAATAGGTATCATTTATAACAATAGCACATTCTTCAAATTAAAATGCTTTTCGTAAGTGAAGACATAAACATATTCTTTAAAAGAGGAGATGTTTTGTTTCTGTTTTCGATATATTTGATTTCAAAATAATTTTACAATATCTGTTATTTACGTTTAATTTTTATATTCATTTTTCCAGGTTCATTATATATCTCAAGACATATCTAAATATTTGGTTTGTTTGTAGATTTGTAAATAATCATGATTTTTCAAATACAGTAGAACCTCGCTTAACGTGTATAATAGGTTCCAAAATTTTCGGATTTTTACTCGTTTAGTAAAATACTCGTATAGTGAAACAGTTTTCCCCATATAAACTAATACGATAATGCGTTCCACGCCAGAAAAAAGTATAACTTCGACTCTATTTTTAATGATTTTGCTTCTCATATCTATGCTTAATTTGAATCTTTGACTTTTTATTCGAAGACATGCAAATGTTATTAAATTATATTTGAAAGCATAGTCCGCTATAACCAAAAACGACCAAGAAAATCGAAGATGGTTAATATATATAATATGTGTATACAAGTTTTGATGTAGCAGGCGCATCCGGGACTTCTCTTCTCCTGGTCACTCGTTATGCGAAACATCGTTCGTTAAGCGAGGTGTTCTTACTACTGTATAAAATAGTTCATAAAAATATATATTTAAATTAAAGAGTTACATAGTCTTAATGATTATAATAGTAACAATTAGCTTAAACAAAATAAGTTTTTGTAAACTATTAAAAAAATGCAGTTCTGCTTACACCAATGAGCAAGGAATACGGAAATACTATTATTCATGGCACACTATGCTAAACAAAGTGATGAATATGATGCAACAAAATAATTCACGTTCAATGTGGACGAAACGCTAGTAATTTTTTTCAATGAATATAGTACTCTTGCTTTTGTTATTACTATTTCATTCACGCTGTTGCGAATTTAAATAAGGAAAAACATTGGCCGAGCAAACATCTATATTTATATATTTAACATAAAATGTATGTTATTTATTCCCCTTTTTATTGTTGGAGGCTAAAAAGTAGGCGGAATTCGTAATTCGTACATTCACAAATAACACTGACAATAATGACATCCCTTATTATATTTACTGGGTAATATAATAAAATATATTGTAATTAGAAAATACAAATGAATCATTGTTTATATTATGATATGAAGAATAATTATATTGTAAATATGTAATTATTCATAATTGTTTATTAAAACATAGTGCGCCTTCGGTAATTTTGGATTATAGTCCGGTTTTAAAATTACAAAACAAGCTGAATATTAATTGAGCAAAAAATTAATTCGAAAAAAATAGTACACAAAATTACTTTTTTTTATACATAAATGATAGTTTATTTTCTTTATAAAGTCAAGTTTATTTTGTGCAATTTAAAAGTCCTTGATTAGTCCGGTTTCATACAATCCGGTTATTGTTGAATATAATATAATAATTAAATTGTATCGAAATACTTAATTTAAACAAGCTATAAAAACTTTAGCATGTGATGAATAAATGATGATACATTTATTTTAAAATAAATTTTTGATTTTTTTTTAAATAAAAAAGATGTTTGATGAGAAAGTCTATAGTCTTCAGTTTTCTTATTATGAAGAACTATATAAACGTTTTGAATTGCAAAATACAACAATACTTCGCTTAGTCCGGACTGTTTGAAATCGGACTAATCGAAGACTATCTGCACAAGAAGAAACTTGACAGTATAAAAAAGATTGAATTCAATGGATAATTGCTTGCGGACTGTTTAAGGAACGCACAAAAAGAGACTTAAAAAAGTATTTTATTTATTAAGTTTTTAAAATTTAATCTATTATGTTGATGAAAAATTAAGTTTTTTTTTTGCAAATGTTCTAACTGGACTATACTGAATCCGGATTAATTGAAGCTGTACTATTGGAAGTATTGCTGTATATCTAAAAATAAGTCTACAAGAGAATATAATATAGTAGCATATTGGATATTACCAATGAATTAATAATTAGACTTATTTAAGTATTAATTAGAGGAATTAATAAAGCTTCTGTTATTAAACGATGCAATGCATAATTTAACAATATACTAATGTTTTAATTAACATCCTAAAGAATTTATTAATTCATAACAGTATTTAATAAATATTGTAATGTATGATAAAAAAAGTAGTTGGTATTTATATGTTAGCAAGAATATTTAGATTAATTTAAAATATCACTGTTAATTCTACATAAATATATCATACTTAGATAGAAATATCTTGGTTGATTGCTATTTGTGATATATAAAGTATGTTAGTAAATATAATGATTATTAAGTAATTTATAATTTTTACTTTTATTCTATTATATCCTAATCTAGGAAGAGCATTCGGCTTAATATATATAACGAAACTGTATAACAAAATTTATTTATCGTATTATTCGATTATATGGAAAATAATTTTTTTATATAGAAAAAAGTTCAAAAAAAGTAAATAATAAAAAATAAAGTGTTATTATTTATTTTGTTGTTATAAAAAATCAGGCTGTAGTTTATATTATGCTTAAAGTATTTGCAGTATTGAAACATGAGTAATAATGATATTTATTACGTAATCTAATTTATGAAAATTTAACAAATTTCAAACTAATATTAAATGTGTTATTGCGTGTGTAAACGTATTAATATTTGACAAATGAATGTATGCAATATTTTTTATTAAATTATAGTACTTGTTATTTTACATTTCTTTTATGAAACGAAAATTTTAGTACACTTTTTTGTGTGTAAGTGAACGTATGATTGATTAAAAAAACTGTTGAATTTGGAAAATATGAACGTTTTTAGAGAGACAACAAAGGTCCTGTATGTTGGTTCTTCGTAGGGAGTGTTCCGACCAGGGTCGAGGAATCCAAGGTTGGAGGAGAGTTCAGTATAAAACGGTGGAATCGACTGGGGAGGGTCAGTAGTTGAAGTTTGCCTTAACGGTAGACACACTCAAAAGAGAGAACCGTCTCAGTTGAATAACGTAGTGAACCAATTATTTTTTTACATTTTCTTTAACTGACGTTCAGATTAAATTCATTAAAGAAATGTATAGAATTGTGAGTATTTTTTTTTTATAGCAGTGAGTGCATCTGAATTTAAATTTTAAACAATCTGATTTTGTTTTTATAGTTGGCACTATTGGCGCTCGTCGGAGCTGCTTTGGCCCAAAACCAATACAACAAGAATCCTAAGACAGCTGCGATCTTGAACGAGCAGCGTTATCTCAACGGAGATGGTAAATTTGGTGCGCAATACAGTCAAGAGGATGGTGTGGAATTCAAAGAAGAGAGTGATGCCGATGGCACTCGTCGCGGTTCCTACTCTTACGTAGATCCTTCCGGTCAGAGGCGCACCATCTCCTACACCGCAGGAAAGAACGGTTTCCAAGCAACCGGCGATCATTTACCTTCTGCACCAGCGGCTGCACTTCCGGTTGCCCCGCAACCGCAGTACACTCCACTTCCGCAATACAACTCACCAGAATTGCACCAACAGCAAGAGCAATACCAAGAACCACAGCAGCAATACCAACCCCAACAACAATACCAGCCACAGCCTCAACAGCAGCAACAATACCAACCACAGCCACAATACCAACCTCAACCACAGCAGCAGCAGTACCAACCGCAACCACAATACCAACCGCAACCACAGCAGCAGCAGTACCAACCTCAACCTCAGCCTCAACAACAATACAATCCCACTACTCAAGCCCCACACAGGTTCTACCCACCCGGTAAACTCTCCCTGAACAGGTCACCAGACGGCTTTAGCTACAGCTTCCAGCAAAATTAACTAATCCCTAGTATATAAACAGAACTATTATTAAATTAACCCAATTGTGTATAATTCTTTTCCTAGACACGATTTTTATTTTTTTTTATTTTGTACATTGTATAAATCAGATTGATAATCAGAAGAAGAAAAGCAAATACTATTTATAAAGTGAAGTAAATCTAAAAACGGTTGCAATTTCTTTAACCTCCTTCGAACCAGTTGACAAACGCAAACGAAAGTGAATTGTTACAACAGCAGAGACCTTGAGTGCACTTGCTCTCGTTAGCATTATTATTATTATCGTTTGAATTGCACGCAGAAACTGGCTAAGAATGCGGTGTTTTATATTTTAACGAATTTATTATACCGTGGCATTTGCAGCATTAGAGATTCCGTGTTTCTATAAATATCAAATGATTGTATGCATAATAGACTGCAGAAAACAACGACAAAGCAATTTCATCTCGTTATATGGCACATTACCGTTTATTGATCCCAGGAGAGGATTTAACATTCAATAACCTTTTGTTGTGATGCATTTCGCAACACTGCACGCGATTCTAAAAGAAAGTTCATTACTTTCATATCAATTATTTATGATATACAGTTGAATTGTGCTGTTTACTTTAATAATATTGTAGCTTTAAAAGGTTAGCTCACAATATTTTTATGAACTGAAAAATGAAAATCAATATTATTGAATAAAAGCAAACATTTTATCAATCAAGATTTAACGATTAATTATAAAATGTTGTCACTGTAAAAAGTGATATAAATACATTTAGTATCTTTGAATGCCTAATCAAATAGATTGACTTGCAAATGCAGAAATACTTTGGTATAGTACGGTTGAACATTTCAGTCAAACTAAATAATTCAATAATAATAATACTGTTTATTGCATCAGTCGTACAAAAAACATATACAAAAATAAAAAGAACAAAATAAATATATATAATTTCAAAAAAAAATAACTGATACAAAGTGCTATTGACCATAGGTCTTTCTGCCAGGGGAATAACAATGAAAAAACAAACAAAATTATAACGGAATCCTTCAAATTGATAAAATGTGTTCATAAAGAGTAAGAGCCGGAAATCGGATCCCAGATTGAACCCCGACTCCCAACGTGCAAAACCGGTAAACAGTATAGAGATTGGAAGGTCTGGAGCAAAACTTTTCAAAGCACATAATATTATTTTTCATAAATAAATTATCGCTTTATCTTTCCTTCTTTACTGTAAAATCTCTTTTTGTGCTTTTCAATTTTATAGTCTTAATTTCCTCGGTTAATCCGGTTTTAAACAGTGGAGTAGTTTCTTAAATTATTATCTATACAAATAATATTAATAAAAGATTAAATTTATAGTTAAAAACATACTACGTACAATGAAATATCTACTAGTGGACCCTACCCGTATGCTACGTACATGGTGGGGCAACTTGGACTGACTGTTTTAAAATGTTCTCAATTTTTGAGTTTTTAATAATTTTTAATTTATCAATTTATGTTATGTTCTATTATGTGGCTAAAAAAGTATTGTTATTATTATAAGCAAATATGTTAAAATGATAAAAAAAAAACAGATTTTGCTTTTCCTACCCGTTCTCCCGATTTAACGGTACTTTATTTCTTTTTGTGGGGATGGTTTACCAGAATAAACCATTTTAAATAAAATATACGTAAATAAATAACAAATTCGGAGCCAGAAATGCATTAGAAAATGCTATTTTTTTCCACACTTCTGTCAGAAAAATTCTAATAAACTCTACTTACATCTAAAAGAAAATACAATTACAAAAGTTATATGTATTTTACATCAGTCAGTGGAAGTTGGCCCGCCGTGAATTATAATTCCGACTCCCGGGATAAATCACAATAATAATAATATAGATAATTTAAATAGAATAATTGCATACCTTAAAACTATTGAAGAAGTAGTGTAGTCTGAAACGTATATATGTTCAACTTACATTTACCCACAATTTCTGGAAAATGTGTATATGTCTATACTTAATGTGTGTGAATGTGTATACTTAATTATGTTGGTAAGTGTGTAAAGCTACCTTAACATACAAGCAAAATAAAATTTGGGAATTTACTATGGAAGAATTAAGGAAAATTAAGCCAATGTTTCACAAGAAATCAATTTTCAATATTCAAACAGAAATAAAAAATATCTATATAAATATTGATGAGAAGCAACAAATAAATGATTTTGTACTTCTGCCGTAACATATACAAATAATAATTGACTAAAAATCTAAGATCAATTTCTAACAGAATTCTGTTGATATTTTGTCTATAAAATATATATCTCCTGCATTATATAAATTCAAAGTAAAGCTTTATTGTAAAAAAATATTTTCTTCTAATAAATTCGAGCCTATTTCCGTGGATGATTTTTTTCGTTATAATATTATTCAATAAAATATATTATTATTAAGAAATATTTTGGTCTGTTCGATCAAAGCTCTTGCGACTTAAATCGTTCCACACTTTTGCAGATAATATAGTTATATTTATCCCATATCCTATTTAATACTATGAGGAACAAAAACGACGAACTAGTATAGATTTAATTTTAAAAGTGATACATACCTTTTTATTACAACAGAAATGCATAACGTTCTTAAAACATAAAGAAATGAAACATTTATTATTCAATGATAAATGTAAGGTTATTATTACATAGCAAATTGACTCATTTCACGATGTATTATTCAGTAATTTCCTTAACCGATATATATGGAACAAAACATAGGAAGAATTAATAATAATATACGATATTGTAGAACGCAATCAAAAGTGATCTAGAATATTCGAACAAGAATATGTCGTTTGTCCTCCGAGAAAAGGAAATCCCTAAGCTTGTTGCCTAATGAAAATACCGCGAGATCAGCCGCACGTAAAATCGAATAACTCCCCCGCCTTTTCTCTGAAATATTTACCAATGGGTGTGAAATCAATTTTAGGACACAAAATGCATCAATTAAACTTAGAAAGTTGAGTTTGCGTTTATGTAAAATATATATTTGTGATTTATTTATCAAATTCATTTTTATAGAACGATTTTCAGCAGTTTCAAAATACAAGTTCGTTCAGGGTAAATTGTAAATTCCAATTGTATTAACGCTATTCTTATCTATTTATATATTTCAAAAGAAATGAATAAAGAATACACTTAAATATTTTCTGCTTGAGACTCGATATCGCCGATATCGACGTTTCTCTGAGCGACGTTTTCTTTTTTGCAGAAATCGGTTATCATCTCTTATCTCAGAGAAATTCCGAACCGTTGGAAAAAATGTAACCATACATATCTCCCCTCCAAAGTGGAATTGGACATCACCGATCAACAAATCAGCAATTATCTGATAGTATCTGGATAAACCATAGGTTTTATGAAGGTATAAACCCAAACTAAGACTGATTGCAGATAATTTCAAATTATTGTGGAAAAACTCATGAAGGGCTCGGCAATGACTTGATGGCATATTTCAGAAAGACATGAGTTCAACGGGCTCTAGGGATATTTTATGTGTAAGAATTCCAAACTTTTCCCGACTTCAATAAATTTAATATGTCTATAGTTAATTCCGAACATTTATCGTTTATTTCTGAAAATTCTGAACCGTCACTTGAAACCATTATCAGATTCTACTGCTTTATTTCTTCATCTCTAAGCCATAACTTTCCCAGAATAATACAATCTTACAATAATTATTTTCTCCCTCCCTTCATCATTAAACTAATCATAAACAAAAGACAGTTATATAGGCGGATGTGACTGATTGACTACAACATGCTTTAAAGACAGTTCAACCATTTCCTACATATCCTCTCCTATTCTAAAAATTCTCATCCTAGTTATGACTCCGTATCGCTTAAAAATATTAAAACACCTCGATCCAAATATCCACTACTATATTATGAAAATCTTTACCTTTTATTTATCATCTCAGAATCTCACATGTGAATGAAAAACTGGTGTTGTTGGGTGTATTCTAAAAAAATACTGTAACTATTCTCTCCTATCTATTGTCCTATTATTATCCTATGACCGGCAAATTCTTTGAATCTATTCTCAAAAATAG